TTTTCTTCTTGGAATAATATGTCGATATTAATTGATGTTCAGGTACTACCAAATGGAGCATTAAGATGGATCTTATTCATTAACTATGCGTAGGATAGACTTGTGCTTGCGGAAATTTGTTTATGGTATATTGGGGAGAAGTAAGATACTAACTAGTATCTCGCTCTAATGACGGCAACTACCTACCTCTGTAAACATTCTTAACGTGAATCAAGTCACCGCTATTAGAACCCACCACACTACTGGTATCTAACGGACGTTTACCTGTCGTTCTGGCGATATATGTTTCAGAACCCGCACAGAGGTCTAAGATCTGCCAGCACCTCTGGGCACTGACTCGCCAACAAGCGTCCTGCACGCAAAACGGTGAAGAATTATGAATCAACAGACAAGGGAGAAAAGAGGAGGACCCAGTATCCTGTCAATTTCTAAACTCCGTAGATGCTCAACCCTGGTTTTTGCGGGTAAAATTAAGTTCGCAATCGATCTGGGTCCTGGCTCCATTTTTCATCCCATGCTCTCATCATGCACTGGCAATAATCCGGGACACCTCGTTGCTACGTATAATTCACACCTGCTATCAAATGATAAATTTCAAAATTGTGCAAAGGCAAAAGATAGCGGGTGAACCATGGCCCATTGACATTCCGAATTACCTCAATTTCCCCGACAACTTTAACTCTCCCGAATACTTCCTCCAATGATCCAAACAAAACCATAGCAATATACATCATACCGACCCCCCACGCGCACCCTCGAATCCCGTCTAATACCCCAAGATTCCACTCCTTCAAACGCAACACAACATATGATAAACGAGTTTCTGAGTCGAGACGTTATCCGTGAATCATCGTACGATGTTTTGACATCTCCCCAGGTACTGAAATCTACCCAAGCTTCTATTTCAAGAGCTATCTCCTCTAGCCACCCCAAATGACGAGTGAATGCCCCGAAGGATGTGCATTTGTCGAAGGAGATCACGGTAGCATTTACCGAGATGAGATGATATGCTTTTTTGGGAAAAATGTCTCGGATGCCCTGGTTGGTAAATACGGTATGCTTAATTGAGGATATAATCATGTGCTAGGAAGAAATCTCCGGGAGTTTTTTTTGGAAAATTGTTTACTTGGGTTTTACGATTGCCCAATAATTGGAGATGATGTGGGAATGTATGGGTATTGAGATCGAACAGAAATTCTATGTAAATGTTGGCCAAGGGTATACGTCATATTCTGCACTTTTGTGAGTTTTCAATCCTCTCTCTTCGAGAATCTTCCTCCCTTCTGAATCATTCTGATACCACGGAGCCATCCATGTTGACATTTTTGTGATGAAGCAAAATGCCTTGTCCACGATGGCGGACAGCCCAGAAAGTCGGCTCACCGGGTGATTGCCATGTAAGTAAGATATTACTAGGCGATCTTGATGTGATGATTCCCCTTCAATCTTGCTGTAAAGCAGAGCAGTCAGATTTAATATACAAATGATTCAATTCGACTTCATTGAAATCGCCACCATGGTATTATATTGTTTAGAAGTATTACCTCTAGATCAATATGTCCTATTTGTTATAATCTTATCCCGCTACCGAGACCGATTTAAACAATTTGAACAAACCCCCAAAAATAGATTTCTGCTTCATACAAAAAAACTTCTATGATTCGTATAATATATATATATATAGAAATTTTGACAAGAAGATTTACATTATAATGTTAAAAGAAATATTTTCAATTCAATATATAATCTTGAAAAATAACGTTATATAAAAAATAAATATTATTATCAAGTAAAAATTCAACAATTGCTAGATAATTAATATAATTATTTTTATATTATAGTATTTCAGAGATTAGAATTTACATTCAATATGATTTTTTTTTAATAAATATTATTACATTAAAAAGAAATTTTAATCTTTAAAATAACTTTAAAGTAACTATATTAATCGATTCCTTGAATTCTTATTAATGATGATATATAATTTCTTTTTGTTTTTTATTTTCTTTAAGACTATATACTGAATTGCATAGTTTTTCTTCTTTACTTACATATTAAAAAATTCTAAATACATTTTTAGCTTAGATAAAAATCTATTTTGAGGGTTTTGTTCAAATCGTTCAAATCGGCCTCGGTACCCGCTACTAATAGGAAAGATTTTGCCGAGTTTTGCCGCATGCTTTTCTAGTAATACGACAGAAAATCTTGGCTCTTCAGGCGATGGAGAGGATTTACGTCAACGAATCAAAAATTCATGATGGCAGGTGATACCAATTGATCTAAGATACAGGAGGCTTCAATATGATTGATTAAATCTGTTGCGAGCCAGAGGCAATTTTTGAGCTTCGCTTCTTATAATCACGATAATCGACGCAGGTACCCCTAGCTTCATATATGACATGTCTACGATGTCTAAGTAATACATTAAAATTTATTGCTCGATACACTAATTGAGGATTTGAGAGGTTGTCAACGAGCAAATCTAGTTCAACATCCAAGGTCCATTGTGGTTTTTTGACTTAGTGTTCTTCAGGAAGCTGTGAGATCCAAATTTGAACCCAAGCCAGAACGCTTGTTTAGTAAACCGATGTTTGACGAGCTCTATTGAGTCTGTTTCAAGCTGCATGATTTCATTAGTGGGGTCTGAAATCCCAAAGGAGCAAATGACAGTCAATCTAGACCTAAGATAACGCGAGATGTGTTCAACGTTGAGTATGACCACGATGACCTGCAAAAGAACAAACGTGTTAAAGTGCAGCAGTCGCTCAAAGTGTAAAACTACAAAGGCATCACGCCGAACATTATTCGCAAGAATTAAGATAACGACTAGGGCCATAAGAGGGAGGAATAAAGGTAACTAGATGAGGAAGAAATTCGGTGGAGATCGTCTGCTCACTAGAAATAAAATATTCTGGAGAGGGCTCCAAGGGGTGACGATGTAGGTTGAAACGGCGCGATCGATATTGCACTATATCAAGCTTTGCTGATTAGGTCATGAGTATCCCCGAGGAAAAAATGCGCGTCTCTGAGAATTCCAGATTCAAGCTGTCGATCTTCATGGGCAGGGCAATCATAATGCGAGACTAAGAGCCGCTCGAGGTACACTGTAAAAGGCCAGCCTTTTCTCTATCAGATATATGTAAGCGGTGCTGTGTGGAACTTGTAATTAAACTGTTCTTTCTCAATACGCACAGCTCAACTCCTTGACCGAGCGAAGAGACTCTTTCCCTTTCTAGATCTTCATATCATATTCCCCCTCTCGTCCCCAACATTCCTTTATTCATTTAATGGCCCCTCTGTCTCCATACGAATCGGCGTGAGTATTGGGATCTGCAGACCACAAATCACGGCTCGAGTTTAAACCGTTTCCGGAGCATGCAGCTAATTTACACGTATGTCGATGCAGGTAGTCGTTTGATGTTGACGATGAAAGATTACCAGTACCTACGTGTTTCGTACATGTATTTCCGCCGGGTAAATAAACGTAGTCTCAATAACCCAAGCAGCCTCCTTTTGGGCTGTCAATCACAATGCCGAGAGTGATAATCTGGTCGAAGAAAAGCTTACCAAATGACATGCTTGATTTGATTCTCTCTGAACTCGTCTTTTCTACCCTTTGTATGTCGTACTCAAGCCGACTCTCCCGAAATCTGCAAGATAAGCTGCCTAAGAGATATTATAATCGCGTTTCCATCGTGGAGACTGTAGTGACTGAATGGGCGTCTGCAAGCAAAGGTTAAAGTGGGCGCCGGCGTATCATTGCTATTTCCATGATCTGTAGGAGGATAATCATGGTGGCGCATACTCTTTGCGGTTCCCACATCTATACCTACGTGAAAAAAGGCATGACCAGTCACCGCCGGTCCACTTGCCAATTATCAACTCTGCTATCTGCTCAAAATATACTCAACTTCAAACGTTTAAGTAACGAATATGTGCTGTCAAGTAACAACAATACTATGCATCAACAGCTTTTCAAGGCTACATCCTGTGATATATGTCTCAACCAAACAACCAAAAATTGATCTATTTCGGGCTACTAGCAAATTCATACCTCCAACGAACTGTTGTGGGTACCGATACTTCCTAACTTTGATGCTTGAAAAGAACCCACTGTGGTCCAACACAAGACAATTTTGAACAAAGCAGAAAAATTTGTGATAGGTAGGACATTGACTCATTTTTAGACAGTAACAGTTCTCTTATTAGGAACGATAGCTTTTCATAGAGAATGATAGAAGTGAATATGGCTGGCTCTCGTGTTTGGATTTTGAACCACCATTCCAGCGGCTGGCTTATAGAGTTCTAGTTTTTAAGCAGGTAAAGATAATGGTCTATGTTGTTTGTAAAAAGAAATTGCCCAGGCATATGCATACTGAAAACAACAGGCGATGAGATTGATAATTTGACCCCAAGAAGCTGTCTGGTTATGAGGCTGGTTCTGGCAATGAAGGGTATAGCTGAGAACTTTCTGTCAATAAGCCTTCGTCCCAGAATCCGCCACCTATCTCTTCAAAAGAGTGAAAAGAAGCTAAGAAGCATCTGGTAAAGCTTTCACTATAAGAAAATCTGTAATTTATCTGTCAGTCCAGAAGCCCAGGGGTCCACGTGATAGAATTGATCCAATGGAATATCTGATCATGACTTTCTCATTTGGCCACTTTCCTTGTATGGTTCAAATAATATGATGCAGTATGCTAGCTCATCTCGTCAAAGTCCTGTAGGCTTATACATGATAACATATATACCACAATAATCCAGTGTGGTCTGGGAGGAAATGAAGTTTGGATTCTGTCGAACGTCGTACCACATGAAAAGGCACCTAGATCCCATGTGATATCATAGACAAGGCTGAGAAACCCCATGGAATATGGTCCGAGCTTTGTCAGCCTTGTATTGCATTTTATCTTACCGATTGCTCTAATAATACTACTTCAATTATCAGTTGAAATCGAATTCATTAATCATAGACCAAAAAGAGGCACCAAAGACAGATAATCATGGATTCAATGGATATTGATTCTCGTATCGAGACGCCTCAGGTTGTTGGAGAAGTCGAGGTAAGCCATTATTTTTAAACCCAAGCTCTCGTGGTAGAGCCTTGCGCGTGTTGACCTTCAGATTTGTACCAAAGGCTCCTGCTTGAACTGACATTTTTTATAGTTAATGGATACCGAAACTTCAGAAAAGATCCCAGTTGAAGAACCAGTCGAGGCCTCAAATGAAGCTTCAGCTGTTGAAGATTTGGTTGAAGAACAAACGGAGGAGCAAAAAGAAGCCCAAACGGTCGCCCCAGAACCCGCAAAACCTAAACCTTCTGCTACCAAATCTAAAATATCAAACAACGCTCCTGGTTACAGATATAAATATCCTGAGGCGAAGCCGACACCTCCCGGTGTAGATGATGATAGATGGAATAAGATCTACGTTGCCGCAGACTCTCGATTTTACAACAGAGCCAAAAAGAATGCGTCTGAATCCAGAAAGATCAGACTGACCGGTGAAACGTATCAATTGGCACTTAGAATCTTAAAGGAAAGGGATGAGAAGGAAGCGGAAGCCGCGGCAGATCTGGCTGCTGGCATAGCACCGCCTCTTAAAAGAACGCCCAAGCCCAAGCCACCACCCCGAATGCCAAAAGCACCATCTACAAGCTCAAGAGACGGTACGCCAAGCTTCAATGATAGAATACCATTAAGTATCTCCGAACAGATCAAGAGTGAAGGTCGTGCTCGAAAGGCACTGCCATCCTCTAGTCAAGGATCTCCTGGGCCATCTGCTCCTAAGCATAGCAGTCCTGTGCCGTCACAGATAAAATCGGAGAAGGGACCTATCCTAAAGAAGAAGAGCACCGTCGCTCCTTTCAAAAAATTCCAACCCAAAGCGGCCAAACCCGAAGGTACAGTTCCCACCAGCACAAGTACAAAATGTCGCTTGTACATACTAATTAATACATTTGCACAGGCCCTACAGATGCTAGATCACAACGTAATAGCGCCACTCCCGGTGGAAGAAGCGGCCCGTCCGACGATGATGGCAGCAACGATGGTGGTGAATACTGTATATGTCGCGGTCCTGATGATCACCGCATGATGATATTTTGTGATGGGGGTTGTCAAGACTGGTACCATTGCTCATGTATCGATGTTGATGTCGAGGACGCGAAAAATTTGCTCGATCGATTCATTTGTCCAAACTGCAGCTCCGAAACCGAATTTACTACATGGAAGCGAATTTGCAGATACCATAACGTTGATGGATGTCGGAAGGCTGCTCGTGTTATGGACGAGCCACCTAGCAAGTATTGCAGCGACGAACACGCAACTGCTTTTTGGGAATTTGTTGCCGCAAAGTTGCGCTCTAATAAAAAACGTACTATAGGTGGTGCATTGAATGAGGAAGAGTTTGGAGCGTTGTTGACTTCATGTAAGACAGCAGCCGATTTCCATGCCCTTGGTTCAAGACCGAAGTTGCCAATACCTGAAGGACACGACCCAAGTCAACCACTAGGTCTCAACTATCTACTTCCCGAAGAAGAATCTACTATAAACAAGATTAAGGCTGGACGCAAAGTCATTGAACAACGTATTGAAGGTTTCAAAATGGCTCAAAAACTTTTGATTATGATGAATCGACGTGCTAAGATCGCACAAGAACATCCAGATGTTGAGGTCAAGGAGATTTGCGGATACGATAATCGTCTCGCTCTCAATGAGTATGAGTTCGATGCTTGGTGTGTAAGCGAAGAGGGCAAAGGTTATCTCGCTAGTGGTATTCTTGGTCCTCGTACCGAGGAAACAAAGCATCTTGGTGAAACTACTCCATATCCTGGTCAGGTCATTCCGGATACGGGAGATATACCGGACGAACTAAAGAATCTGTGTATCAAACCCCTCAAGAAATGCAAGCACTATGGCTGGCGTGGTAACCATGCAGAGCAATACGCCTATTCAACAAAGACTTTGACGGAGGAACTCGCCAGGTTGAGTAAACAAGAGGCATTTATTATTGAGGACGCAGAAACGAGAGAAGCTACTAAGGATTACAATGCTGAGAATACGGTCGAGCAGCTTTTCTAATGCTTGAGTTGCACTTGTTTCAATGCTCTTCTATGCTTCGGCTCCTGGTTTTTGGGATGGATATCGGTATTAAGGAGTTTTAGCATACTTTCAATGGATGGAGAAATAGGAAATATTAAAACGCATACTGGCTGGGCGTTTGAATGCTTTGGACTTCAGGACATGATGGTGTATATACCCAGGCGGAGTTCACGTACTATTTTGAATTAATTCGATACACTCAACATCAACATGGTAAATATAAATATTAAGACGATAGTCATATAGGTAATCTGATGAATTCTATTGCAAGATATTTATCGTTTTCAATGTCTTGATATCTCAACTCTAAACCCATCATCCCCTTCATTCCTCACCCATCCACCCAAACACTCCCTCACTTCTTCCTTCGCCCTCCTCCTCTCTCTCAATATGTCACTCTCCTTCAAATTTCTATATTCATCCACCTCCAAGCCCCTGCCAATCCTCTCCACAATCTCCTTCCCACCAATCTGCATTGCCGTAATCGCGCCCAAAACTTCAAGTCCCAATTTCCAACCCCTTCTTCTACAAACCCTACTCGCACCTTTCACATCAAATTGTTTTCTCCCCTGCAACGCCCCATTTACCAGCGTTTCCCCGCCTGTTTTCCCATCGCCGCACACCCACGAGGTGGATATATTGCTACTTACATATTCTATTTTCGCATTGTGGGTTTCTGATCGTCGAGAATGTACGAATTCTTTCTTGGTGGTTTTGATTCCTAGTTCGTGAAATCTATATCCACTTTGCCTGGTTTCTTGCTCTTTCTTTTGTAGATTGGATAAACGAGTCTGGAAACATCGCACGAAGCCCGTTTCGTTGTATTGCGTTTCGGGGAGGATGAGAGAATGTAAGTACATGTTTTGAGGAGAGATGAAGAGGGAGGTGAGTGAGGAGAGAACAGATGTGTATTGCGATGTAGCTAGTTTATCAGAACAGGATTTTGAGAGGGTAGGAGGTGCGTCTGGACGCGATGGTTTGCGTCGTACGCGTCCGAGAAGTTGGAAGTTGGCTCGGCCGGGGAGTTCGGGTTTGTGGTCTGGGGAAGTGGTGCTAGTGGGTGGTAAATCCCAGGGTGTTGGATCGTCTTGAGATGCCATTGTGAGCTCCATGCTTGCGTCGCCGCAGGGTGCTTCAGAACAGTACATGTAGAGTTTAATGTGGGGTTTTAGTTCGAAGGGTTGGAAGGAATCATGGGTGATGGTTTCGGGAGAGCGTTGTTGCAGGTACTGGGAGGGGATGGAGGGGGTAGAAAGGAGAGCGAGGATTTCTTGCAGGAAGAAATGGTCGAGAGTGCGGAGACAGAGAATCTCGGCGTGCCAGTCGTGGAGCACATTACCTTGTGCTTGGGAAAGTTTGGATTGCGGAAGACATTTCATGCCGGTTCTGGATTGGGGTGGTGTTAGGAATGGAAGTAATGGAAGAAAGTGATGTGATGATACTCTCTACAATAAAAGATGAAGCTCATGATTGTATCAAAGTGTGATTTCACGTTCCGCAAACTTCTCCTTGCCTTCATCTTTATGCATAAATGATGCAGGAAGAAGCCATTGAAATTTCATTGAAAACTTACGCAAGAGCCAAACAAGTCAATCCATTCTCACCTACCTCGAATCAGCCTTACCGTACCAATACAACATCATATTCATTAGAAGTCTCTAATCAACATAAGAACCTTCCTCGAAAGTTCACCTACCGGAAGCAACAATCCCACTCAAAGGTACCCATTCCCTAACCCCTTCTCCCCTATTCAAAGGTTTTCTCTTCGTAGGCAATTCATTAAATTGTTTTAATACCACCGTTGCGATTTCGTCGCCTGATGGTTCGTTTCTCTCATTCATATCTGTTTTCGATATTTGGATATCATGTATCACACTCATCATATCACGCAGATATATATAATTATCGTCGGGAAAAGATACGACAGTAAGGGTTCAGACGAGTTGCAGTAATTTTCGCGTGGGGTAGAAGTCATGAAAAGGAAGGGGGTTGATTGGCTGAAATCGAGATTCCATTCCATATAAGCTCCCCGCAACACGACGGAATTGAGCACGGTACGTGTGTGGGGGATCCGAAGATCTAAGGAAGGGAGAGGATGTGTCCGATTATAATTGCCGCGTTTGAGGGGTGCGTGGGACGGAAGGGGAAGTGAGTGCTACCTAGCTAGTGTTTGTTTGTAATTACTTATAAAGGATTTGTTAAACATTATTAACGATGAGAAATATTGAGTATATAAAAAGGAGATAGTATTTCTACAATACTCGAGCAGGTTCAATAATACGACTTACAACCTTGAGCTCATCAACCCTGCACTCAAAGCTTCAACCCCCCCTCTCAGTTCGAGATATTTGATTCCATACAAGTATTTCATCACTACAGTATCACATCACCACATCATTACACCACATCAACATCTAATATATCTTTCTCATCATGGATTCTTCACAAATAAATATTCCCCCAATGAAAGATCTCACCATCGACAACATCACCGAAAACACCATCCGAATAAATTCTCAAGGAAGTGATGAACGTCTCACATATGTTATGGAAAGACTCGTTACGCATCTCCATGATTTTGCCCGTGAAACACGTTTGAGTACTAAAGAATGGATGGCTGCACTGGATTTCCTGGTGAAGGTTGGTCAAATATCTAGTGATGTTAGACACGTATGTATATTAGTTCCATTCCACTATTCTCCACATTCAACACAGTGATGAGAATTGATAAAGTGGCTAGGAATTTATCCTTCTGTCAGATATCCTCGGACTATCTCTCCTCGTCGACGCAATTGACCATCCCAAGCCCGCCTGTTCAACCGAAGGAAGCGTCCTCGGTCCCTTCCACACCCACGATGCAGAAGTAATGGCATCGGGCGATAATATGTGTTCCGATCCCCAAGGCGACCCCTGCATCGTTCTCTGCACCATTAAAGACGTCTCGGGAACACCCATCCCAGATGTCAAAATCGATATCTGGGAGACAGATTCCACAGGTCACTATGATGTCCAGCACGACATCCGGGATCGACCTGATGGAAGATGCGTGATGAAGAGTGGTTCCAATGGAGAATTCTGGTTCAAGGCTATCGTGCCGGTTCCCTACCCTATCCCGCATGATGGGCCTGTAGGCCAGCTTTTGAAGCTATTGAAGAGACACCCGTGGAGACCGGCCCATATGCATTTTATGTTTGAGAAGCCGGGTTGGGATCATCTTATTACGTTCGTTTTCCATACTAAGTATTCAAACCCATATTTTTTACTAATATCAAGAAATAGCGCATTATATCTTCGAGGCGATCCATACGAATCATCAGACGCAGTATTCGGAGTGAAACAATCATTAATCGTAGATTTTGAACCCGCAACCGCTGAGATCGCAAAAAAGTATTCAGTTCCCGAAGGATCAAAAGTCTTGAAACATGATTTTGTTTTGGTGAGTGAGAAAGAGACGGAAGAGTTGAGAGATCGGAATGCGTTGAAGGCTTTGAAGGATTTGGGTATGAAAGTAAAGTTGTTAGATCATTTACCGGTGCCGGATCTAGATTGATTAATTAGCAAAAGGGATTACGGCCGAGATATGTGATGAGAATCATGAGAAAAGGAATACCACATTTTTCAGGGGCTCTAGCCCGTTCTTGTTGATGAAAGATGTGAATATGCTAGTATGATACGTCTGAACCTAGCCGTAATTGCTTTCTATTCGCTTGCTGATATGATTTTCGTGGACTGGAACTTCGACTCGAAGAGATGCGAAAGGTAACATGAAGTTTACATTGCCGTCAAAATGATAAAAGCCACAAAGCCTTATGTGAAATCACAAAGTAGCCAATAACATTGGAAACATGATCTTCCCACCATACTTGAGAAATTTTAATATGATATATTTCTCAACGTGTATGACAATAACCACAGTAAACCTCAGTTATACTGGAGAGGATTCTTATGTACGTGTGTATATAGCCAAGATTGTACTAGCTACCATAGGGTATAATACTCAAACCGAATCTTAGGAAATACATGCTAAAATTACAGATACCAATAAATGTCCCTCCCTACCGTTACCCAAATAAATATATGTACTGTGTGCGCTCCACACTTTTACGCCAAAAACACTAATACCACCCTAATATACTATAAACATCCAAACACCGCACGATTTCCAAACCTCCTCTTCGCGTCAATCCGATTGTTCTCAACCCACTACTCCAAACCTGCCACCCTCCTCGGCCAACTCATCAATCCCTCCCAGCCGCCTGGTAAAATCCCACTAATCCCGCCAATTTCCCTCCGTACCATCGCTCCCATCCACCAAAACGTTTTTCCCAAGTCCAAATCCTCTCCATTCCTCATCTGCAACGTGATTCTATCACTCGGGCCCCCACCCTCTACCAAACACGTTGCCATCGCAAAGTAATATGCGAAGATGACTAGTGCACGTGGTTGTCTCTCTTCCACCAAATCTATAAAAAGTTTCGGGACTTGCAGTCCGAAGGCTGTGAAGCGGCGGGCAGTCGCCATGGGGTGTTCATGCTGCATGATGTTGAGGTGGATGGAGGAGAGATAGGAGAGGGTTTGCAAGTAGGCTGTTAGATGCGTAGGAGGAATTGAGGGATCATAGCCCCCATTTTCAGAGTAATTTTGAGGAGAGATTGAGATGTGGGGGGAGGGATAAGTGAGGATTGCGCTGAAGAGAGGGTGGATTTCGGGGCGGTTGAGTTGTTCTTCTGGTTTGGTAAGCGCGGGCTTGGTACGTAGGAGTGCCATTGCTTTGGCGTTCGGATCATGTCTTATTAGACCTAGTGCAACGGCAAATACAGATGCGGTTCCTCGAGCCATCTGTAACCAATGCGTGGGCAGTGTATATGGCTTCATGCAACGAACTTGCAAACTGGAAAATGCGTCGTTGAGGATTAAAATTGAGGCAAACATTACTGCGTCGGCAGTACTGGGATTCAAGCTCGCGACTCCTTTTTGATGATGACGTAATGCTAGGGAAAGGTAGTGTTGGCGCGCTCGTTGTATCTCCATATCGTTTGGTGAGAGCACGTGAAGATGTAGAGAAGCGATGGCAAACATGGCGTAGAGAAGGTTAGGGGATTCGAAAGCAAGTTTTGGGACGACCACAGACCATAGATTCAATGTTTCAGGGTTATGACAACTAGGGAATGTCGGAGATGTGTGAATTATGTAAGTTTGAAGTAATCGTAATTCAAGCATTCGACGAGCACTAGATTCAGGAAGGTCATCGCTGAAAGCTTGGCTTGGAGCTGGTGGTATTGAAAGATCTACTTGGGGTGAGACTGATGCGCTACTAAAGTCTTCAGCTAGAGCGTGTACGCTGATGTGTTCTGGTGTAGAAGGGTTACTAGAGTTGGATTTGATAGTCTGGGGTGATGATGCGGCTGGAGGAAGTGGTGGCGGTGGTTTTGTATAGACGCATCCTAACCTATGCCTTATACAATTATTACAGATAGGCCTGGTTTCATCACACTGCATTCGGATTAGCAAGGACTCGCAATGGCAAAGCATTTGCAATGAATGACTCAGATGCAGAGATCTAGTGAATACGCTAGTATCTCAAGATAGCCCTGTGCAAAGATAGACTTTCAGTTACGTACATGCAGAGGTAAACCTATGATGGTATACCAATCAAAGAAAAGTTTCTGAGCAGAGAACTATCTCTGTATCTTATTGTATAATGAAATATTAAATTGCAATATGACAATTGAAATCAAAAAGTTAAAAACATTGAATCGTCCGTCGTACATATGTCGAGTCAAGTAGTACTCAGTTACAAGCGAACATAGTATGAAAATATCTTGGCACAGGACCAACATCGATATTCAATCGCATGGAAAGCCAATCGATAAAAAAGATAAACATACTTTGACACGTCTTGCCTTACATCTTTGACACCCATTCCTCGATTTCTTATGATACAATCTTGGAGCCTTAATTTTCTTCTGCCCCTGCTTCTGATCATCATCTCCCCCCTCCCCATCTGGATGATTCGCATCAGGACTCAGACTATCATGGGAATTCCGGAACGATTGCGAGGAAGACAGTTCCTGATTCGAAATCCGTGCATCCGGCCCTGATGCCCTAAAACCGGCATTATCATTGCCACTCACGAAATGCGAATCCGAGGCAAAAGAAATTGATCTCGAGTCGATTCCCGACCTCGCGGTATGAGAGATCGAAGCATCGAAATTTCCATTTCGACCATCTCCAGAACGCCGATCGAAACGAACATGCAGATCCGTGTCCATGCTTCCCAGACCAGGCCGTGCCGCGTCTGCTCTGACTGTAGGATGACAGCCCTAAAGCGAACCGTGGCCCACAGTCCACGTGTCGAATCTGACGTCTGTTCCAGGTGCGTCAAAGACCCGTTGGATCTACACCTTATTTTCCGATTGACAGGTCACGCTATGTTCTCTTATGAAGAATGGCTGTGGGAGGCGCTGTGCAGACGGGCGGAAATCAGCGGGAAAGAGGGTCCGGGAATAGCGGAAATTCGAATGGGCTGGTAAGTGCATGTAATCAATCTCCTCTTGTGAACGAGGAATCGGGCTCATTTGATGGGGTAAAGAGGAGATGTCGTCGGGTTCGGTATCGTATGTTCAAGGGTGGGTAGGAGGATTTTTGGATGATCTAATGCTGCTTTTGAGAATTGTGGTTATTTTGGGTGGCTTACTTAATGTTGGGGGCCAAGCATGACGGTTAAAGCTTAAGGCGGCGGAAAGTGGGATGTGTTTATCCGGGAGCGAAAAATAACTAACCCATTGGTTTTTGTAGAGCGACATCATTTGCGAGATAAAAATACATGTTTGCTGCTGCAATCTCCCGGAAAACTACTTGATCTTCCAATCATCTCTTCACATATTTGTTCGATTTTCAAGAGCTCAAAAGTCATGGACATGTGGATTTTGGATTTCGAATGCTGAAGTTGGAATCAAACATTAGATGATATTCGTCTGAAGTCTTAGGATCACCGAATACATCTCACTCCACTTTCAGTGATGAAAAATGGATATTCACAGTAGATCTTATGATAGTTGGCACAAACACTTGCATGGAAAGCAAAGTCCCATTTCATCTTGTCTAGCAAAGACTTATTAAAGTACAGGTATCAAATAGCTCTGATCCTTATCCCACCCAAATACAAATTAACAAAACCAGTAGCTCCAGCAAATTTCATATAGCGGGCAAGCTCAACCAGTCATCTCATCATCCCAGTTTCATATATTCATCCCAGTGTACTGCTATTCTTTATTATATATCATTCCTCTGCTCTCTATCTCGCTCGGAAAAGGCCACCTCCTGGAACAGCCAAGAAGATCACCGTCAAGACGACAGCAACACCGGTACCGATGAGCAAAGATTGCAGGAAAATTATATCCTGTATCTGTCTCAATGCCGGCTCCTGCACCCAAACCTCTCGATCGAAAATCTTCCTTATAACAAATCTCTTTTCGTATTTCTTGACCCACGGATACTCTTCATACTTTCCGCTACCAGATGCATCGTCCAGATACACGGCACAGTCCTCAGACTCCCATAACTCCCAAGGTCGAAGATGACGATGATGAAGACCATGTAGTACAACACACATCCCCCTGAATGCTGCATACAATGTAGAAATGCCCAGGACCCAGAATAATGCCGAAAACGCACGCCATCCTCGGGACATATTACTGAGGGTTGTAAGAATTGCGTACAGGAATCCGAAAAAAATAAGAGCGACACCAAGACCCTTAGCAAACAGTTGACGTGGTTTGTTGCCATTGCAAATACTCCAACGGATAAAATTGGGGTGTGCTTGGTGTCTCAAGCTAGATTCAACGGTTTCAACAATGGGTTGGAAGGCAGATGGATGAGTTGTGGTTGAGAGACGCTCAAGAAGAGTAGTTCTTTGGCGTGAGGATAGATTAAGTTGACGAGAGCCATTATCTGCAATATATATGGCGATGATTCGATCAATCTCATCACGATAGGGTAGATTGATATCTAGTCATAGGGTAAGTTTCAATTTGCGGAGGAAAGGATTTCATCAAATTACCTGGAATTTGAATACCAGCACGACTGAATGTTTGCTGGGCAATCGAGCGATATGAATCTTGTGCTGCTGGTCGAACTTCCATTAAGGATCCCCCTTCTTTATCGAAACCTGTCTCCCAAGGAGCCGTGACCTGTGGAGGAGAATTTATTGTGGCTTTGATTGCACGGGTAGTCATTGGCCGCTTATCATCCGCAGCATCATCAAAACCAACCGCCGAATCATTGTGATATTCAGATGAACCAGAAACCTGGCGTTCGGAGGAGGCTGTTGCGGGTGGAGTTGAGAAGGGATTGGATGGTCTCGATTTCTCGAAACGAGTTGTGTAATCTCGAAACCAGAGGAAGAACTGAAGATTCTCTGGAGCATGCTCAATAAATTCGAGATAGTTCATGAACTCTCTCACGGTCATGGGCTGAGTGTAAGTGGTCAGTAATGTGATGAAGCATGGGGTTTGAATGCTACAGGCTCTGTGATCACTCTTAACCGGAACATGTACCGTCGATTGGTCCGGTAAATAATCAAAACAGAATTGCCCATGGAAATATAATAGAACTTGATCTTACAGGGCATGTTCCACCATTGATAATTTTGTCAAATGTGAGAGCATCCGGAATGCCTTGTGAGAATTTGCTGGAAGTTTTCGAGTGCGTCCGAGATAAATCCATGCTGGAGTCTCTTGAAGATTTCTCTGAACTTGAGTATGAGGTTTTGTATTCAGGACGATGATAGTTGACGTTTGAGAAAATCTCCCCAAGGTAAGGTATGATGCCCGACATGATTGCAAGTTATGAGTACCAAAAAATACCCAATTTATATGGTTAAAGATGTGAAACAAGGAAACAATAATTTATCAAAAGGATATAGAACACTAGTGATATAGGGAAAGATCGTGAGAATCAAGGGTAAGAAAGGTGCTGGTTTTTTAAAAAAAGAAGGCGTTGAAAGTTTGAAAGGAAGGTACAATGGTGACTGAACTCAATCTGTGTATCAGAATGACTGAGCAACTACACATCAATATGGGTGAATCGAAAGGGTTTAAAATCAGTTGGAGAAAAAAAAAAGAGAAACAGTCCGGTATCCTGATATATATATCCTGCTTCCAGGGTTTCTTTAGAAGGAGTACATGAGTAGTAGATGCCCACTTAGGCCAACAGCCTTTTGCAAGTTTACCTACGCATGCGAAGGCCGGTTGCCGCTCCAGGCTCGAGTTCCAAACCGCAAGCATCATCCTTCTTACTTTGAGAACCGTTCGTAAGATTGAGCACATAGAAGCTTTTTTTCGAGTATGCTGTTAGATTATCGACAGCCCGTGGTCAGGAAAGATGCCATGATAATGTAGGACGTGCGGGAAAGCCTAGCGAGCCTAGCTTCTCTTACCTCGATCCGAGCTCCATAAAGTGCCTAGTCAGGCTTAACTTGCAATTTTCAACAATACAATTTGCGGGCGGGGCTCCCGATATACGACTCTCAGCTATAACGATTGGCCAATTGCCAGTGAGAATCGTTCCTCGTCTATAATACAGCCTTGACTAGATGTGCAATCGAGGTTCATCTTGGTACTCCACCACCAACGCCATTATCTATGGAGCACGTGGCACTAGGACGTAGATCCATATTCGACATTTGTTCCTTCCAAATAACTTTGTACCCCTGTTAAGGGCAAAAATTGCAATCTTCGCGGAAGCCTCTAACTTTGTTGAGAGGTTCGGCGCGAAGCCGAGCGATCAATAAGGTACAAGCGAGGTCACCACAAAAGGTTCGTATAGGCGAGAAAGCTCCCGGCATAGAATACCCAAGATTCGAAGTTCTATGTAGAATAAACAGACCAATCATAGCATTTGAACTTGTTATTAGACTTTCACGATGGGTCTTCAATCCCTCCCTGTGAAATTTTACAAGTTTGATGGAGAACCAGATCAGATTGGCGAAGCTTGACTGACGGGATGGATGTATAGATGTGTATGATATATACATCAAGGAATTGGGCTAGAATTAAGAGAATTGCAGTTAAATTTGATAGGAGCCCAATCCGAGGGCAGGTGGACCGACTACTCTATGATGTACATATCCAACAGTCCCATTGACAGGTTGTAGATAAAAGTTATCGAGGCAAAAATTGAGCAGCTGAAAGATCTAAAAAATTCAAATTGATGAAATTGTCATGGTGAGAGGCATGGGGTAAAAGTAAATTGGATGCTGGCATTAAACCCTAGGTATTCGGAACTATATCTGGAGTATATTATTGATATTCATTAACATAACATATTTTGAGAACACACCGCACAAACAGTGTCACCACAAACTGCACACCATCACTTCACCAATGTTTTTCCGAAATCTCAACCTCATTAACATCCACCCCCTCCTTAAACCACCTCTCCTCATCTCCAATCTTAACATTGTTCCCACTCATCTGTCTTTTCCTCATTCTCCCATCTTCCGCAAACGTCCAGTCCTCAAGACCATAGCATCGCCACCACTGACCATCGTTGTCATGAAACTCATACCAGAATTGTACTGCTATCTACATACATCTCATTAGCACCTCCTTCCTACGAGAACAGAAACCATACCTTATTCTCCGTAAACGCAAATAGTTCTTTCCGCAATCTATATCCATTTTCCTTTGCCCATTTCTTGCTCAGAAATTCGACAATTTCATCTTGACCGCGGATAAATGAATCGCAGTTTCTCCAGATAGAATCTTCGGTATAGGCATTCTTTACTACCTGGGGATTTCTATGTTTTGTTATTGATATACTGATGACTATGCGAGAGGAACATTGAGTGCATACTTTGTGTTCCATACATCCTGTGCAGCTTTGACCTTGATACGAGCGGTTTCCTCGGTGAAAGGTGGAAGGGGTGGTTTGGTCGTTGATGCCATTGTTTATTGTGAGGAGAGGATGAATCACTTTAGTTGTTGGGGATGAATAAAAGAAATAAATATCAGGTGAGATAAGATGAGATAAGGGGAAAGTTCCTTGTGCGAGTATATGCACAATTGATTACTGTTGACTTCCATCCATGAATTATATATCTATTTCTTTTACCGCCATCTCTACTCAGTCAATTCAACAGTCGTTGCGGAAAATGATGTCCGTAGATGACTGTCATCGATACCTCCTCCAGCCATATGAATCCTTCAGTATTCTTGTCCGCGAATAACTTCACATAAGCCAATTAAGACATGTAATGAGTACGTTCATTTCAATCACCGAAATCTTGGTTTTCTTCTTGTCAGACCAAAATAATCTTCCCGAATCCCGCAAGAACCGCCCCCAATTGCGATTTCTGGAAACTATTCAAATACCTATTCGACGTGAGGTTTCTTGTATGGACTTTGTATACTCTCTGTATAAATGATACATTCAAAATGCGACAACTATTATCTACATCCTGAAATTTTAGGCCTTGCTCGAAATGACCATCAATTTGAGAAGGCGACAAACACGTGATGGCGTGAATTCCGCGGTATAGCCCATCAATTATCACTTCTGTCACCGTGCAATTCAAGCACGAAAGGCACATCAATGAACAACGATGCGATATTTGTGACTCCCAGTAATTGATCTAATCAATCTATTTAGTGGCATAGGAATTTACCACTGCTAATGCCGTTCGCCGTTTCCAGTATGTGCTAACATTTAATTCTCCCACGAATACACTGTCTTCCCCTCCTCAAACTTTCCACCCATGGGTATCCACATGAGCCAAACACGATACGGCTTAGACGCAATGGCTTCTTTTAAGTTCGCGAACTCCTCTTCATCGCCCTCTGTGGCAGGTGGTACCTCAAGGAAGAAAGGGCGAACAATGACGAATCCGTGGGCTTTGTACAATTCACGTCCATCATCAGTAGACTCTACGAATGCTTCGAGTCCCTTTTTGTCAGCGAGTTTGCAACCCCATTGCATCATCAAGCTACCTACTCCTTTACGATGGTGCTCTAGATCTATAAAGCAATCATTCAAGACTAGTACTGTCAGACCGACTTAGTATTTATCCATTATCATAAAAGGATGTGCAAAGGAGGGGTGCTCACGCAAGTGTGGACGATTCATGACTGAAGGGCGACCTCCAAAGAATATCTCGGAGAAATTGTCGGAAAACGTCTTCAGTGGTCCTGTATTCAGATGTGTGGTCAGTAGTCACAATAGTTTTGGGGTTGTCAAGTGAAATCGCATTATACCTTCTGGCCACCAAGTGGCTTTTCGAATGGATTTGTTTCATGGACAATCCACTCAGCGCCACTGATTACCTTATTTCCATCCTTTACAGTGAACCAGTGGCTGTTTGGGGTGCCCATATACCAAGCCCATGGTCGCTCAGCACACTCGTCCATGTTGGGACCTTTGAGGACTTCCCATAGACCGTTTGCTGGCATGGCATAAGCTCTGTGCTCGACTTTGACCACTTCAGCAAAATCGGCTGCGTTGGTAATTTCTGATAACTGCAGGGCCGTTTTTTAATTGAGAATCGTATCGAAAAGTCGGTTTGTCCTCGTGTTTGATCTATTATGGCTCGCGAGGTTGTGTCGGATGATGTGCTCTCAGGCGTCTAAGAACAGTTTAAATATCTGGGATCTTATTGATAAGACCTCTTCGGCATAAAATTCGCCCGATAATTACAAGAGTTTTGACCGAGGAGGTATGCAGCCGCAAGGCAGTGCAACATGTAGGTTTGGTGCGTTTCATTCACTTACCTAGGCTTGTAGGACCTCTGCGCCGCAACCGTTGGCTTCATTCACTCGCAGAAACCCCTGCTATACTATTTGCATGTGCCGTAGTCTTACGTACTCGGTGTGGACTGTGCATTCAATTCGATAAGCGCAACATTGAACTATGAGCAATTGCTACCTACTTGCACACACTGACCCATGTTTGTCTAATTTACAACTGTGGGTATGGAACTTTTATTTTGAGAAATTTTCACGAATTCTCTTATAGGACAAGCCCAAACTAGTTTCCAAACCTCTGCGGCATAGATCGTCGCTTCGTATCATGCCGGAATTCAGGCTTTGGAGGAAAGGTTTGAGGTATAGGATACAAGCCGTTACGGTTCCTAGGCACTGGGCCAACATTGTACTCAGGACGAACGCCCAAGAGAGGAAACGCTCACCAGTTCGATCCTCATCGTAGAGGATTTTCAACTGGACAATGACTGCTGCAATAACACTGTAGATTTGTCAGCATTGCTGACTGACTCCCAAGGTATGAGAATATGAATTACCATATTCTCGGTATGAAGCATAAAACCACTACCAGTTTTGGGCTCAGTGCAAGCTTAAGGCTCCATACTACCATTACAGGAAGCAACACGAGATTCAGAGTAATATTTTGAAGATTTCAACATGAGTACAAAAGTTCGAACGGCGTATGCATTCGTTTTGAAGAATATTCCAGACTTGGGGAGTATTGCATTGAAAGATTAGACCAAATCCCGCTGAAATCCCCCACGAGGCCCGTAAGTACGATCAAAAACGTATCAAGGCTTCGATGTGTTCGGTTTGGCGTAAGAGATCGGATGAAAACCAAAATGGATAGTTTCGAAAAGATTTGGCTGAGTATAAACAGAATGTTGAACGAGAAGACTGTCTGCCGATGAGTTAGTGGATTTTATTTATCAAGGATTTTTTCCAATTCATACCTTCTGTATATCATCGAGTTGTCTCTGTGATACACTCTCCCAAGCTTGGAAACCGAGGCCATTCTTGACTCCAATAGTAACGGTAATCGTTGATCCAAGTGCTAATAACTAAAGGGCAAAGTAAGTAATTGAACCACTTGGAGCACTTTAAACCTACCAAAGATCCGATGATAAATGCATCATCGAGGTCGAATGAGCGCGAGACCGCCCAGCGAGTACCACACCTGGTAGCGACAACGAGAAATGATACTATAGTAAACAGCCAGCCGATAACATTCAAAAGCGAACGGTGGTCATCGGAAGTGTTAAATGGAGCTGAAGGCGGCAACAGAGAAGTACTATTATCCGCCACAATTTGTGTGAAAACTAATCCGTAGAGTCAAAGTAAAAGTGGGTTTCTCATACAGCATCTGGCGGTTTTAGTAGTCCACTACATGATGCGTAATCAGAAAGACTCGATGTTAAGGATATTCTTGTCACCTCCCTTGCACAATCTCTATTCCAACAAAACATGGGGTCCCTAAACTAGGAATACATATATACGGCCGTATTGGTGCGTGGCGAGGCTCACATTCCAGCCCTTGGTTATCACGATTCCCTTAGATATCTTGAGAAATGGTGAGTACTACCCAAAACATTATCCGAGGGGGTTTGCTATAAAGGAGAGGGCGTTTTTTTTGGGAAGAGTATCGTGATGCTACGGCTGCAGACGTACTAATAAAGTATAAGCACAGCAAACTAATAAGAATAACTGTCTACCTCTTTGGGGCTGGTTTCCTTCGCTTGGGAGAGAAATGAAAAGTGTTGCTTGGATTGAAGAATAACGTTGCTACTCATTTTAGCCCTAGAATCTTGTTATTCATACATCCTTGGGGAGAATCGAGCCTGATTGGCTAAAGCCTTATTCCCAGCTTATTGAATTCATTACAGTTGTCTTGAATAATCAACAACACAGTATCAAATACTGCCGGTGATTGATGTTGTTATTATGAGAGGGTAATCTCTCTCACGGGGGTAGTACAGTGAAGTGAATTGTCATCGCTGCAACACAGTGTCAGGGTTACATGCGCATAGAGATGGATCAATTGACATACTGTAATCCGAGTGGCCAAAAACATTGTTGAGTGTAACTCTGATTAGAACTAGTGAGGTTCCTACCTCCGCACATTTCAGTAGCAAAGTTCTCACACCTCGATATCATTCCTACCTTCGACCTCAGATCCAGAAGCAAGATTGAGAGGAGGAATTGGCGGAATTGGCTTTTTAACGTCAACAACCACCAAGTTTATTCCACTTAATTCGGTGCTTGAGAGCACAAGCATCATCATGGATAAACCAAATAGATCCCTAGAGTTGAGAACCATCGGTGGCTCGAAAATGCCGCGCGATTCACGCAACGCTCGCGACAATGAAGAACTGTCACAACTGGGTAAAAAAGCAGTGCTGAAGGTAAGTGCTCAGTCCTAATGAAGTATTTGAGCAGACAATAATTTTTATCTCTAGCGTAATTTTGGCTTTTTATCTATGCTTGGCTTTAGTTGTACTGTCATGATAACTTGGGAGGGAGTACTGCTGTAAGCCTCGTTGCTCCAGGTGCCAACGGCGCAGTTCATGTATGATTCATTGCTACTTATTTGAATTGTGATGAGTGTATTGACCAACTTCGCAGATGTCTGAGGAGATCAGCAGACCTTCTCTCAACGTTCCTCGCGCTATAGTGTTCAGCATCCTTCTCAATGGCACACTAGGCTTTGGAATGCTCCTTGCAGCATTGTTTTGTCTCGGTAACATCGATGAAGTGCTTAAAACCCCAACTGGTTATCCGTTCATGGCAATCTTCCAGTAAGTTGTAGGAAATTTGCCACGTGCCTTAACCATGGCTGCCATTGTTTCTCTTATGAACATTGTGCCACCATTAGTTTTGTCGCAACTGCTTCGCGTATGACTTGGTATTTTGCTCGAGACAGAGGTATTCCGGGCTGGCAATATTCAAGCAAGGTAATTAGACCTCCGTTTACAGATCGTGGACACCAACTGACCTGGAATAGATCGAGCCACGAACGACACTTCCCTTGGTATCAATAGCGTTGACCGCAACTATTGCCATACTTCTCAGTCTAATCGGCCTTGGCTCCCTTGTGGCCTTCAATGACGTTGTATCCCTATCAATAAATAGACTTTACACATCATACCTTATTGGCAATGGCTTTCTTTTATATCGCCGGATCAAAGGTCAAATTCAACCATACTCAGCTATTCGTAAAACTCTCACACCAATACCATGAATAGCGAACTATCCTGGGGACCATGGAAGATTCCCGAACCTTTTGGAACCATAGTCAATGCTGTTGATTGCCTATATCTCATTGTAATCCTCATAATCAGCTTCTTTCCCATCACGGTGAATCCTGGCTCTGCGGGTATGAATTATAGTTGTTCATGGCCATAAGGTTCATAATGGACCGGTGATAGAGGTGGAGCTTGAATAGAGACTTTTTGATGGATAGTAGTATGCGAGAAACAGTCTAGCAAGCGAGAGAGTGTTGCATCTCATGAATAGTAGGTAGCTTTAAATACCAGAGTCAAAACATGGGCTGGCCCTTCTCCCACGCACTTTTATTCTCATGAATAATCCGCATTCGCACTGTGAGAATTCGAATCAAATGGTGTTACGATCTTCAGATCATGAGAGTGATTAAATTCGGGTTCCCTTGTTTAGCTAAGTAGAAAGATGCGACGAATATCACATGATACTGTGGTTACTCATCATACATAATGAAGCACAGATTTACTATGTTTGCTTCTATAACTTACCATTTTATATAATCACTATTTTCTCATGTGATATGCTCCCATTCTGTATGATATATTAAACATATTAAATATGCTTTTAGAAATCTATTTTGGGGTGGTTTATTCAAATGCGTCGAAATATCGTAGGCATCGGTAGATTATGCGAACAGTCTGTACTCTGATGTAATTTGTAAAACACACCATAAATTTGAAATCAACCGTGTTCTACGACCGGTCAAACCAGCAATAAGGTCGACAAGGGACGATATCGAAGTCCCAACTAATATGAGAAATCGAAAGTATGGATAGATACCTTTTCTGCAGCAATCAGCCAATCACAAAGAGGAATCAAGCTTGTAGTGGGGTGAAATGGGATATTCTAGAAGGAAGCTAATGGTGGGGTGGAGCGATGAATCAATTGATGTGTCTCCGACTGCGGGTGCGGTATCAGGTTGCAGGTACCTACCTCGATGGGTAGGGGGTTGCGGGAGAAGTATTTATATATTGACGAGAGACGGTCTGGTTGCTCTCTTCCTCTTTCTATTCTCATCTTGTACAATATCTGTCAGTTTACCTTGCATTTCAATCAATCGCATACCTACTCGAACAAATTAACAAACAACCCCTCAATATCCATATCTCAAAATGTCTGAAGCAACCTTGAAGCTCGGTGACTCCCTCCCCGAGGGCGTCAAGTTCGGTTGGATCCCACCTACCCCCGAAAACGCAGATATCAAAGCATGCGGAATGCCAATTATCTACAACGCATCCAAGGGTATGCATATCCATCCATTCACTCCCTCCCACACCTTTCCTTCCATGCTCACTGAACTAACCATACATAGAATGGGCCAACAAGAAGGTCGTCATCTTTTCTCTCCCCGGTGCATTCACCCCTACCTGCAGCGCATCGCATTTACCAGGCTACATTGCCAATCTCCCTGCGCTCCGCGAGAAGGGCGTCGATGTTGTGGCGACCATTGCGTACAATGATCCTTTCGTTATGAGCGCATGGGGAAAGGCAAATGGAATTCACAATGAGGATATTGTATGTTCACTCCTACTTCTCTTATCTACACCCTCTCCTATCTCCCTCTTACCTGTCTTGATTTTTTAAGAACCCCCCTTGCTAATTTTGCTCCCTCCAGCTCTTCCTCTCCGACTACCAGTGTGCTTTCTCCAAACTTCTCGGCTGGACCGATGGTGAACGTACCGGTCGCTATGCTCTCATCATCGACAATGGAAAGATTGTATATGCAGAGAAGGAGCCTGGAAAGGGCGAAGTTACTGTTTCTGGAGCTGAGGCTGTTTTGAGCAAGTTGTAGATGCTTGAGGGGATGGAGGAATTAATAAAATACTAATGAACAAACACATATATGATTGGGAGCGAGATTTGAGCATGAGTTATAGATTAGATGATTAGATGGCTAGACTGGCTATATAGAAATGGATAGAGGAAAATACGATATAGATCTCTACCCTGAAGTATATGAGTGTTGCTTAGTGATTATTCTGGTGATATTTCCCTTATCCCTCAATCCAATCACATGCATGCGTAAGATGGAATAATACAAATACCTCGAAGTCACTAAATGGTTCAGCTCAACAGTTTCTAGCCTCCGAACGTAGAGCACAAGTCATCGCTGACTGCCCTTTCGAGCAGTCTCCGATATTGAACCCCCAGCATGCGATATCGGTATGTACATGCATGCAAGCTATATCGAGCGAAATGTGCGAACATCAGATCGAAAGTTTATTATGTATATGTCATATGAGTGGGATTTTGGAACGGAAAGGGGATGTAAGAATGACGCATCGGCCTAGAGTCTCATGTGAATACCTACCTCAATGTGTAATCACTTGGTATGTGATGTGAGATGTGAAATGCTGCGAAAGACTGGTGGAGATGCACAATGGCTTGGTATTCCGAGCGGTAGGAAATACGTGAGGGGGGATGTAGTAAAATATAAGAATAAGTTGCTTTCCGAGACTCATTTTGGAGGGGGCAATTTGGATAGAATAGAATTTGGATAGAATAGAATTTGGATACACTTATATCTCATCCATTCGATTCCATCCTATGTAGAACAGATAGCCTCTCCTCATTTATCACAAATATTGCCTTCTTCTCGAGACTTCTCAAAATCATGAGTTCATAACATAATGCTCATTATCGCACCTCCTTTCGAAGCTTAATCTTCATCTTCTCTTCACGAGATATGTACAATGGCCCCTTGTCTTTACTTTATATATCGATTTGAAGACTTCCATTTTATGACTCCGATTTTGACAGATCTGTACCCGTAACTTCATTCGTAACCTCTTGTCTATTGTCTTGTCTATTGCTGGACTAATCCTGTGACCTTGTCTTCGATTTCTTTATCCGATAGTCCTGTATGGGATTGTATTAGCATTTGTCTTCTGTCCAAGCATTGTAGTCTCTCTATTCCACGATCAACCTCATTCCGGGCACCCATCTGCATCCCCGACTCATAGTCATCCCCTCTTCATATCGCTCTGCCCGCTACAATTCCCCTCATGCCCATCTTTCGATCCTTTCCCCTCCTTTCCCCTTCTTCACTCCATTCAAACTACTCTCTCTCCCATGCCTCATCTAGCCCTCCATTGTTTCTCACAAACCCGAAAATTCCTCCAAATCTCATAACCATAAACCATACACTATCAACCACACAATACAAAAACCGAAAACAACCTACCAGCCAAATCCTCACTGACCTCCCTCCCAAACTCATATCTTGCGTAAACCTTTGGTTGTGTACCCGCCGCCTCTCTCAACATTATTGGGGTATTTGGGTTGTGCTTTTTCATCGTTGGGTATGTTCTTGCGAGGAATGATCTAGAGCGGGGTTTATCAGATCTAGCTTTGCCAGAGGAGATCTAGCAGACAGCATATGGAGATCCAGGGAAAAGAATTCTGCGCCTTGAACTTCCCGGCAGAATATAAGTATGAGAGGAATCATACCTAGTAGCATCACTATGAGCACCGGTCTGACAAAATAAAAACCTGACTTCCTTCAAGGTCTGCGAGAATGCGTATTTGGCCGACATATTGGTAGATATCTTTTCTTTTCCTTCTGAACAATTCCTTGTCTATATTCTCTTTTATTTGTCGGCGCAATACAGTTTCGAGTTGTGGAAAATCAATGGTTCGTCGCAATTACAAGCTCAAGGTGTAGCTATCCGGATATTGATATTGCGTTTTAAGTTCGTAATGGTCACCGTAAATTTGTAATATTTATCCATTGCGCTCAGCCACAACACTTTATGAAGCTGCAGGTGGATAGACGTGATTTCACCAGCCACCCGTGCCACCCTCCGGACGGACTCCGACATCAAGACACAACAGAAAGTGTTCAACAAAGTTTGACGAGCCAGAGATCTGGATATTCGGATTTGTTTGATATTGATAAGTGAAGATTGGATTTATTAAATTCAAGTAAAAGATTTAATTGTGAGTAGTTGCTTTCTAGTATTTAATTTATTCTCCATTCAAGCTTTTGTATAAGCAAACAAAAAAGAGGAAAAGTGAAGCATGCTTTAGGAATACATAGAACGGATAAACGATACATAACGAATACTAAACTCCGGCATAGCAACAGTTATTCCCATCATTTCCATCATCTACTTCAAAAACACAATCCCCCAATCCCATCCATCAACAACCTCACATCTTACCACCTCACCACCCACACATATAATCATCATGTCCCCCTCAACCCTCACCCGCGCTCTGCGCTTCAACCCAACCTCGATCAACAAGTTCGTTTCCTCGACTTCTTCCTCCAGCAGCGCCGCATCTCGTTTCTTCACCTCCAACTCCTCGTCTGCGCGCCAATACTCCACTTTCAGAAATGCATTTGCTCGAACTCGTTTTGCCGGAAAGCAAACAAAGAGATTTCAGAGTACGGAGGCTGCGGCTGCCACTGCCACTGCGCAAGTTAGTTGGTTCAAGAGAATGTGGGATAGTCCGATTGGATTGAAGACTGTGCATTTCTGGTAGGTTTAGGTGGTTTTTCTTTGGGTTGTGATTGGATTGTATTTGAGCTGGTCTGCGGGGAGTGGTATATGGAGAAGGGTATACTAGAAGGAGGGGAGAGTATATGTTTAATGGAGGGAATTTAACGTAGAGGGGATACGATAAGATCTGGGGATACTGGGAATTGCACATTGCAAAACAAACCACCAAGGAAACGAAGGAAAGCTAACAATGATTCATATAGGGCTCCTGTCATGAAGGTACACAAATTCCCTATCACTCTCCTCAATTATTTATCTATCAGAGGAGCTACTCCCAAGCTCTCGAAGCCTCTTCCCGCACATAACCAAATTCCTCGCTCCAAGCCCTCTCTTCAAGCAGCTCCTCAATAACTAATTTCTCAATCAGTGGGCACTCGTCTTAGCCGGTATCTCCGATCTTGCTCGTCCCGCCGAGAAACTTTCTCTCACCCAGAACGCTGCTCTCACAGCCACTGGTATCATCTGGACTCGATGGTGTTTAATCATCAAGCCAAGAAACATTCTGTATGATCACCTTTTCAACAATCTTCCTTCGGATCCAAATCATTGCATCATTCTCTCACACAAAACTAACAAACCCACAGTCTCGCAACCGTCAACTTCTTCCTCGGCATGGTCGGCGTCGTCCAAGTTACCCGTATCCTCCTCCACCAACGCAGCGAAAAGAACAAAACCCTCACCGATAAAGCAGCAGAAGTCGGTCACGAAGTTAAGGGAAAGGTCGAGGATGTTGTGAAATCATAAATGTGCATCCCCCCACTAAACATATGATATGGAAAATAGCTCTTTCCCAAAGGAACTCCTCATAGATAACTGAAAGAGGGACATACTCAAGTTCCAAAAAGAGCAAATTTGCGAAACTTTTTTTCTCTTCTACATTTTGTTCGTGCGGGCGAATAGGTAGATGAAGAATACTTGAATTGAACACAAACGTAGTATAGAGAATTTCCTTGGTGCGAGGCTTTTTGGTATTTGCCTTTTGTTTCTTCTTGCAATGCGATGCGAAATCTACACGGAGAGGTATACGAAAGGGGCCAAGTTAAATTTCGATGAATTGGTTGGTAATTCATCATAGGTAGCTTTAGCTAGGATGAGTGTGAAGGATGGAAGTGGAGAGGAGAGGAGAGGTGGAACTGTACACTACTATACCTACCCAAGTCTCACCAATTCGAAAATTCTTTCTTTCTTTTCTTGTGATTTTATAGTTTGTATTCTTGCTGTTTTGTGCTGTGTTGAAATGGTGTAGGGGGAAGGGGTTGTGACGAGAACTACAGTATGAATTGGCGAGGAAAAGTCGCTTGTCTATTCCACTTCATCTCAGCTTCCAATTACAGTACCATTCGTTTAGCGAAGGCTACCCATATGAAGCCAAGCTCGCAAGCATACTGAGTAATGGTTTACGCTGCAAACCGCCTAGATGGTTACTACAAACGTGACTTTGTCACTACTCGAGTAAGGCTTCTGTCATGATTATATGATTTTATGATTGTATAGTTTTTAATTGATTGATTTCATTTCTTATCATGATACTGCACATTTGTACATTTGACCTCTACTCCTATCTTTCTTCCTCTCTTCCCTCCCCCTCCACACTAAATACACTTTCTTCACCTGCCCTTCCACTACACTTCCATATCCCACGCAGAGCCAGCAAAATACACATATATATCCATCCATCTAGTACTCTAGTCAGATGCATGCATCATCTTGCCCTTAACCATCCGTCCATTCCATTGCAAAGATATCCAACGCCCAAAATTTCCCATCTCTCTAATCATTTTGATATCCATCCAAATATGCTCCAATTGCCATGCCAAAATCTTGATATCAATAGTCCGCTGTTTCGTTCCCTCGTCCGTGTTATCATCCTCATCCATTCTCATATTTCATCTCTCTTCTGAGAATCAGCCATTTCTGTCATCCTCTCCATGTTTACCCATCGCACTCTTCCAACCTCCAACTAAATAGAAAGAGAAAATATTTCCGTCTACATAACAGAACATTCCTCGTTATTCTTCTGATTAGCTCCCTTAGATCTCGAGATCCTTTCTCTGCCCTTGTTACTCTGCTTTCCACCATTTCTTTTAAGTTCTTCGAGCTTTTCACGAGCCTTGGGGAAATTTTGCGCTACATCATTTATCAGCCATTAACTCTCAAGAATCATCCTAGAGAGAAGAAAAGAAAGACAGGGAGCTGCATTGAAGCAGAAAATAAATAAAACTTACCAGCAGCTCTCCAATACCACCTCTTAGCATCTTCCATACTCTTTGGCGTACCAATACCCTCC